TGAGGAACGCCGCTCGTTGACGGGTACCAGTCGGTCAGGTGGCTGTCGACTTGCACCCTCCACTTCCGTCCAACTAAGAAGTCACGGATCCATTGGTGCAGCGAGCCTCCGACTCCGCACTCCCTCAGTTTCTGAAGGAGGATCTCGTGATTCACTCTGTCGAAGGCCTTACTGAAATCGACGTATACCACGTCGACTGACTTACGTTGGTTTACTGCTTGCAACCATTCATGCCATGTTAGCAGCAGGTTAGTGATGCACGAGCGGCCTCTCACAAAACCATGCTGTGCAGGCGTCAGGAGAGAGTTGGTCTCCAATAGCTGGAGCAGTCTCTTCTTCACAATCTTCTCCAGAACTTTCGACAATACTGCGGTCAAACAAATAGGGCGGTAATTCTCCACTTTGCGTGTGTCACCGCCTTTTGGAATCGGTTTGACAACGGCGCATTTCCAGTCACAAGGCACGCAGCCTACGGACAGGGATCGGTTGAACAGGTCGGTTACAGCAGGTGAGATCACAGCTGACAAGGACTTGAGGATCAGCGGATGGAGACCATCCGGTCCAGCTGGCTTCGTGCTGTCTAAGCAGCTGACTAGCCCATGTACCTCCGCGACGTCGCAGATCAAGTCGGTTAGCTCAGTCGGTGCGGCGACGGCAGAGCTTGGCGCGCAGGTTTGGTTAGTTGCGAATACAGAAGCGAAGTGCGCCGCTAATGCGGACGCACGCTCGGTGCTTGAACTTAGTGGTTGTCCGTTCGAACCCACTAGCACCGGCACATTACCTGCAGACTTCAGGCGTCGCTTCACGTACGCAAATATGCGCTTCGGGGCAGTTTTAGCTGAGCAAGCAAGCTGCTCCTCAAACTGACGGCGTTTTCGCGTCTTTGTGCTGTTGCACAAGTTTCGTTGTCGCTTGTATGCCTCATAGTCATCGGCAGAGCCAGACAGGAGGAACGCATTCCATAGTCGACGTCGTTGTCGAGACAGTCGGTTATACTCTTTGTCAAACCAATGGGGTTTCATTGGTCCAACTTTCCGAGTCTTGAGGGGTACAAATTGCGCACACAATGAGTGCACTGCCCCTTTAATGTTTGCCCAGCAAGTTTCAACGGATGAATCCTGTGGCATAGACCAATCAAGCTGATTGGCAGCTAGAAGGAGGCCATCGAAGTCAGCTTTCCAATAGTTGTATGTTGGCGCCACTGGACGCACACATGGAAGCTGCAGGTCTATAGTGGCCATAATTATCGAGTGATCACTGGCCGCCATGGGCTCAAGAACTTCTATGTCATGCACTGTTTGTTCGCAGCTGGTTAGCAGCAGGTCCAGGCATGATGGCATTGAGCGCGGGGTTATGCGGGTTGGTTGCGTGATGTGCTGCACCGTTCCGGTTTCCAGTACCAGTTCGGCGAATTTTGTCTCCACTTCATTATGGCCAGAGAGAAGCTGAACTTCAGGCCATAAGATTCGAGGAAGGTTAAAGTCGCCAGTGAGCAGGAACTGTGGGCGACTCATTTGGTTTTGGACGTGTGTGAGCCAATCCAATCCGTTACTCAGTGGGCTACGATATGCCACATCCACAAGCAGTTCGCCGCGTCGTAGGTGGATCGAACACCACAGCTGCTCACATAGACCGTCAATGCTTCGGTAGGTGCTCACGAGTCTCCCGCACAGGGTAGACCGGAGGTAAAGTAGGATGCCACTGCGGCTATTCGACTGTCGATCACAGCGGAAGCACGAATAGTCCGTGATCGCAATTTCTTCGCTTGTCACTTCAGATGTCAACCACGTCTCAGCCAAACCAACCACATCTGGCCGACGTGAAGCAATGAAGCGGATCAGATCATCGTGCTTGTTCATTAAGCTGCATACATTAATGAACGCTACACGCAATCCGCGGTAGGAACCGCTGGGCGAGCTTGAAGCGTCACTGCTCTGTTTACCCGGATTCGGGGTATCCGGGCAACTGTGCGAAAATTTACGATACGCAGGTTAGTTTCACCGGCGTCCGTGCGTCGTTTCAGTTCGACCACGGCAGACTTCAGCTGCTCTCGTTCTGCGGGATCAAGGTCTGGCCGGACATGGATTTTCATCCCCTTTAGGCGACCGAGGCGGGACAGTGCTAACCTTGGGGCAGTTTCGTCGGCGAACGCGATGCGCAGAGGCCGACACTTGCCATCAACTTGTTTCCCCAGACGAGTGACTTGTTTCACTCGTAACCCGGGTTCGCCAACATCCAGTAGTTTGTCGGTTAGAGACTGCAAGAATTGCACATCATGGTCATAGCGTACCTGGGGACTGGGATCAGTCGACTCAGGTGCGTGGAAAATCATGACGTTGCATAGCCGTCCCCGTGGTGACTTGCTATCGCTTGGCTTCACCGGTTTCGGTAAGGCCGGTTTCTCGGCTAGCAATTTCTCAAGTCGCGTTACCTTGTTTAGCACAGACTTTAGTTGTGACACTGTCGACGGTGATTTCGATTTGTTGTTGTTTACCGCCTTACAACTTTTCTTTTTAGGGGCCTGGACCCAGCCGGGTGGTTTTGCGGCGCCAGCGCTGGCCACGGCTGCGTAGGTCGCAGTTGCAGTGCCGACAGACGGCTTTTTTCGGTTGTCTTGTGAACTATGCGTTGGTGTGTCCGCTGATGAAGCGGAGGAGGAGCGGCTTCGATTGCGCACAGTATGGATGCATGGAGGAGTCACCGGCGGTAGTACGGGCGTCACCAATGCGGCGTTATTATCTGTCTTTTTCGCCAAAGTCAGATTCGCCAGAAGTGACTTATCGTTAACAATAAGTCGGCATTTGTCACAGTGGAATGTTAGCGCGGAAGATGCCGTTCTTTTCAGGCATTCATAAAGATCGTGCTCAATGCCGCTGCACGTTGTGTGGGCCCATCCTTTGCACAGACCGCACTGCAGCGCTTTAGACCGAGAAGTGACATTTCTGCTGCAGCTCAGGCACTTAGATGCTGCTGCTGCTCTCGTTTTGTCGAGAGTGGCGTCCAAAGTGCTAGACGCACGGGAGGTCGCAGCTCGCTGGACCTTGCTCGTCATGCTTGATGTCTTGTGGATAGGTGTCGCTATCCAAATCACCCTGGAGGTGTGAAGGAATTTGACAGACGTCAAATTCTATTACCAATGTGCGTTGAAACACCGGTATTCAAGCGTATTTCACTTGTAAGACAAACGTATAACAAGAATGGGAACGAGCCACCGGACGTCGTTATCCGCAGACAAGGCATGCGTGCTTGGTGAGCAGTACACAAGTGTCTTTGTCCGCGAAACATATAGGCCATGCAAAGGGTTAGCTTCAAGAGTCTCTGAAGACTGTTGTCTGGATGAAATTCCTGTAACTGAGTTCCAAGTTCTCCGATTTCTAAGAGAGGTAAACTCAGCTAAGGTTTCAGGGCCAGATTCCGTTTATCCAAAATTGTTGCACGAATTGACAGTGGAACTCAGTGGACCTCTGACTTGTGTGTTTCAGAAGTCTCTCAACAGCTGTGTCTTGCCTACCGAATGGAAAGAGACTGCTGTCTTCCCGATTTTCAAATGCGGTGACAAAGACCTACCGGCTAATTACAGGCCTGTCAGCTTGACTAGCGTGGTTGTTAAGTTACTTGAAAAGTTAGTACGAGATACAGTGAAGAACCATTTAAATAGGTTTAACCTGTTTTGCATCGAGCGACATGGTTTTCGCAATGGATTTTTGTGTCAGACGAACTTGCTGGTAGCTCAAAAGTGCTAGGCTGAAGACGTAAACAGTGGACACGCGGTGGATGTGGTGTTCATTGACTTTGCCAAGGCCTTTGACACTGTCCTGGGATGGTTGGCCCTGATTTGTTCTGTCTATTTAGTCCTGTTAGATTATCTAGTCTCCGCGGGGATTGTATGAAGCTGGACAAACCGCGGCCCGATCGAGTTAAAGCGAAGACACGCTTATCGCGTCGAGTCATCGAGCGCTGGTACCTGCTTCCAGAAAATGTCGTCAAGGGAGCTACGGTTAAGGGGTTTGAGCGTCAACTGGACGCTCTTGGGTGGCAACACGAAACCTTTCCTTTTTCCTGACTAATTCCCATCTTCATACTTCGATTCTATTTTCTTTACTTTTCCTCGCCATTGGTATTATGCTAATCTTTTAACTGATTTCCCTTACGCTCTTACCCTCGATTTTTATTCCTCCCTTACTTAATTCACGTAACTGACATAGCTGGGACAGCTAATGTAAGGATCATGGGCATTAAATTTGTGGAACAAGGTGTCTTTCGGGTGTTTTTCCTTTTCGGCCCATCAAGAAGTTAGAGCCCTCCTATCCACTCTTGGATCGACGACGCGCTCAAGAAGGAACACTTACGGGATTCATCCTATCGTCCCAGTCCCACTTGAACTTGAACTTGAAATTGAACGTGTGGTCCATGATCCAACAAAGTCATCGGTGACCCTTGTCTTGCAAAATTCCATTTGCAGGGACCAAAATACAACACATAAGTCAAGTACTGCGAGCCCTGGTTCTCTTTTCGGTACAAAAAGAGAGCGCTTGTTATTTGGGAGCCTGGAAGCAGTCCAACACTGACGTAAAAGCTACCAATGGCTATAGCATTATAGGAAGCAAATATTTCGCCGTTTTAATTCTAGCCGTAACTAAAATATTCTAATAATACCAAAACGTGTGTTCTTTTTCTTACATACTTTTGGCCGTTTTGTGGTGTAGGGGATTTACAACTTGACCTCAATATATATAACCACTACTAACATTAGAAAAACAAATCGCAAACTAAGGAAATTAAATAACCCATACAAGCAGTTTCTTAATCCATATTAAAACATTGGTATTGTGTATTTTAAATAAACTGCTAGAACGAAGTCAACGATTTGGTACGAGAACATCTATGAACATCTATGTGAGGTGTATCTATTATCGTTATTGCACATTATCGCATTATCGCATTACAAAGTAGCTGTTAAACAAAGCTCTGGACATTTCGCGGAAAAAACATAAACTAACCTTCACATGTTCATTTAAAATAGCGCAACGCGTATCAGTCACTATCAACAGAACAGTTAAATATTTAAACAATCGCAGGCCTCCCAGTGTATCACGAATAAAGCACAGGTGCGCAGCAACTAACATTTATTTTAGATATATTGCTGTTTTGCATCCATAGTTACAAACTGTGTAAAAACGGATGTTATTTATAATTTGGTTACTTTGCATAAAATTATCACATCGTATTTATAAATACAGCACATGAATTGTACTTATTACGCAGTGACACTGTTTGAGGCATCAGGTTACGGTTATAACCGGTAGTTGACATCGATTCCAAGGGGCTTCAGGTTCTCGGGTCGTGAATAGCTAGTATGCTTGTGAAATGGATTGTGAGCCAAGAACGCGGACCGTAAGTATCAGATTTCAGTCTTGTCTTGCGGCGCGTTAGGTTCGTCAGGCACTTTAGCCTAAATGTATGTCATGTCGCCAGGATTCTAACCGATCTGTTATGGGCATAATGTGGTGAGGGTGGTATGGCATGCCATGATAAAATTTGAGTATGTCGCTTATTAAGGTTGGAAGGTGCGTACTGAATATGCATGAGAATTTAGTATGCGTGGTAAACTAAATGGTTGTGCCGTTAACACTGCTTTTGTTGTTTAAGTGGATAACAAATTGCAGTTATTAGCTGTGGTGCGTCCTTGGAAGCTGTCATCATGGTGGACGATATTTCTACGTTTGACCGTTTGGTGCGATTAAATTCACAAATATCTGCGCACATGGAACAGAATGCGAAGAAATTTCAACAGGCTGCTGCGACATCCTTTTATAGGCGGACGGCAATTATTCGAAAGCGGTAGAAACGGATGACGGGTGTAACTTTGCCTGATGGCTATCAGTAACATTAGGTGCGGTGCCAGTGTGCGCATGGTAAGCGGAGCAACGTTGGCGCTAAATGGTATGGTTCCCATTGTTAAGGCTGTAAAACGACCCAACAGTTATAGGATGCTGGACTGCAAATCCAGATTTTCATTAGTGTTGGGGGTCGATTAGTATGAGCGTGGAGCAATTTATCTGCGGCATAATCACGATTTTTGCTTGGATACACCGGGGCTGTATTTTTATTGGGACATTGTAGCATTGAATTTAATGAGAATAACAGCCGGAGCTTTACATGCCCCATATTGTATATTGAGTTCGTATCTTGTCTGAGGAAAGGCCAAACAACCTTATAACGGTTTGGACTGGCGCGTTAGCCGTAGCTTCATCGATCTTAAGCGGAATTTAAACAGAATGCACCTGGGCTCAAACCATGACATCTCAACACGCCCTCCGAAACTGCACTTGACGGAGGCGGAAGAGCAGGAGTTTGTGAGTATAAACTCCGTGTTTAAAACCTCCCGTGAGATTCGTCGTTACGTCAGCCGGAAGCATGGGCAAATGTTGATGGGGAACGACCTTAAAACGATGACCAGACGTCACCGGAAGCAGCAGGCAGGGGAGGTTTGCGAGGTGATGGTATTGCTGGAGAGGAACGAAACATGTCGTTTGGTGAGAGGGGAAAACTGTTAGGTATGTGTTTTTCGTGCTGCCTTGCATGGAATCGATGGCTGCGCACTACTGTGAGGTGTAGTTGGCAGATGCCACGAACCAATTGAATTATGGCGACTATATACCGTGGCACTTCATGTTAATAGATGTTACCGGAATTCCGTATTCATTTTTTACGCATTGTTGTCAAATGAGACAGCTTATTGCTACCGGCCGGCGGCGGAAGCAATGAAGGATATGTTGCCTTGCACAGCGTTAGTGCAAACACTTGGTATGAAAAAGTGCATGGCGCAGGTTGGCTGGCTGACGCCCGCGTATTCCAACGCGGCGGTTGTATTTTGCCGTTTACACGCTATGAGGGATACGTACCGACGGTGTGCACAACGTCCTGGCCTAGGCCCAGCAGTGAGGAACCTTCTTCCGCAGTGGTTGCTGTTTTTGTTTACCCTCCTGATGGGGGATATTTTAACAGGATTCGGTGGGCGGTTGCAGGGAAAAGTAAGGTATTATACCGGTACGTGCGGCGTTCCTGGCTTCCATGGGCATCATCATGCGCGTCTCACCGTCAGCCGATCGAGAATGAGAATAAACATTTCAAACAGATTTGATGGAGCAATCGTCTCACAGGTACTTATTCACGGCGATTATCGAGCCTGTCAGTCCGTGGATGCAAGACCGTCAAATGGCGATCGGGAGACACAGTGCGACGCCATATGTTCCACACGTGTAGCCGTCTCTAGCAGCCCGTATTGACTCGGTTTCCTCCCCACGCTCGTAAACAGTTGTTGAGGTACTGGGAAGTGCAGGGGTAACTTCATTGGCTGAGGTGGACAAACAATGGAGGGTGGAATGCACCCGTGGTGCAAGGAGGCGGCGGTATCAAGTGATTGATGCCGCTTGCGAGTGTGAATTTTGTCTGCAATGGCAAATGCCGTGTGCGTACATGTGCCACGTGAGCGCTAGTAGGGGAATGTCTATGGCCGGTATTACAGGAGATCGACGATGGAATGCTCCATGCAGTGGGCCAGTTCACTTGTCCCCGGAGGCTGCCGGTACTATTGAAGTGACGTTCGTAAGCGCTGGCGATATGCTTGGGTTATGTGCCGTGGTCAAGGCGACTAAACTTCACAAGGTTTAGGAGGTGATGGCAAAATTTAATGCGCAGATTTGCAGCACTGGATAGATGCGGTAATACTCGGTGTTTAGGAGTCTCTAGTGGCTTGCTGAGGTGTTGTCCGGGGATAATGATATATCGCACTATTGCACTACGTGGCGCTGTATTGAACCTATTCCGCTGGAAGTGGCGGACTAGTACCATCGGTTGTTGGGAAACGCAAGTCAAAGAGCGGTGAGATGTGGGCTGCCTAATGTTGAGGAAAGTATGCCGGCCACAAGCTCCTTTAGGCATTACGTGGTTTTACCTAATGTGTACAGGACTGATTTTCCGGGGACCACCGCACTGAGGTTGGGAAACCTGCGTACCTTGGCTCCGCCAAAGGTAAATTTCCCATTCAACTGCGGGTGACAGAGTTTCCTGCTCAGTACAACTGGGTACTTCTATGACAACTTAAACGTCTAGGCATCACCACGTCTGGTGGTTCTAACGTGGGTAAAAGGTAGCGGAGGACACCGGAGCCGTCCGGTAGAAAGTTGTGAGCCTTTTGTCTGTTGTAGGAGAATGATGCATCCGGGGTTAATGAAGTTCGGTGGGTGAGTTGTTACTTATGCCAACGTTAGCTCCAAAATCTTGTGCGGGGTATAACGGGGTAGAGGAATATACCTGCGTGTACTGCCATCTGTGCATGGAAGCCTAACGTTGGAGGTACAATTCCATGGTAATGGGAGCCAATTGGTAAGGTGTGTGTTAACCGATTTTGCAATTTATACACCCCATCGGAACAGCTAGGAGAGGACCAAGCGCATTCAGTCGAGATACAGTGTTCCCTCTAACAGACACTATCCAGAAGCGCCAAAGCCACGAGAGCACAGAACACAGTAACTAGGAGTTCCCCGAATGGCAATTCGCCTTTCACTGAACACGCCTATCAGATGCAGACCTATCGAGCTCCCCTCCGCCTCATTGCCACACCACTCTCAACACCCACGATCTACCTCACTTTTGATACCTTCGTCTAAGTCGTGTGCATACTCTGCGCGTTTCATATGTTCAATAGTACCTCACTAGAAACCGTAATGTCACATCACACCAGCCACTGCTTACGCTACCATCAGTCAGCGTAAGTCCCTCCTTAATCGTTACGCTCATGATGGTGACCGCACATCCTCCTAATCTTATTGCCCCTATGTGATCTAGCACCTCACATATCCCCAACTCCCTGATAATCACCACCAACCCCCCTTCCTTTCATCTTAACACCCGCCCCTCATCTCTAGCCCTCTCTTCTGTTCACCTAATTGTGTGTCACTATTGTGCCCAGAGGTTCGCCCGCCCTGCTCAGAAAAATATAAACCGACCCTCTCCTGCCCGCCGCCTACGAGTGGCCAGCTTCGGCCCCCTTCCAAGTCCCACCGTGAGCCTTACCGCGTATAAGAGCGTGCGTCGACGCAGGTGCGACTGTCATATGCCTATGGTCGACTCAAGAGGAGACCAGCGCAATCCTTTGCATACGAGTCTGGAGAGAAGGATAGAGCAGACTGAGAGCCATGACATCCGTACACCGTCGCCTATTTCGAGGATGCCGGTGGAGGCCTGCCAGCTCGGTCTATAAGAAGCAAGGTCCCAGGGTGAATAAAGGCAATGTGACCGCCGTCAGGCGTCAGATTTAGTGCATAATATGAGGATGATCCCATTATAGACGATTGAAAAGGAGTCGCGGAGTGAAGCTACGATTCGCCTGGCTCATAGGGGACACCAATGCCATATGCACGTGCCTGTCCAGCTAAACAGCACCCATGGCGTTAAAACCCATCATTTAGCCCCTCTGACTCTTTTGCTTCTAAAACTAAAATCTGGCCTCAAGAATCTTCATGGAGGCGCTAACATAGCGCTTGATAAAGTGGTCCGCGCCCAGTACCCCACAATTCCAGTCATTGTTTCGGTAAAGTTGGTTGGAGACGTAAGCCTCCTATCCCATCGACGTAGTACCCCCCTGTGCTTGTCCTAACTCGTAGTTTCTACTGCGGACGACTGACCACCGATAGACATCGCCGGCTCCGCTACTTCGGGACACCGCACGCCGAGACCATTCGAAGCAGGGCGGCCCGCACTCCAACTTGCCGGAACCACGGTGATATTTATGTCTTGACGCTGCGTGGTGCTGATTGTTTTGGGATTTTCCATACGCAGTCGCCTACCTTTATTAAATGTTTAGCTTTCAGGAGAAGGACCACTAATGTATCATTTCCCATAGACTATAGGTCGCCACGCCCGATCCCGCGAGAACAACGGTATGTAGTGAGAGCTCTTGTCAGACAGCTGAAAGCTTGCGTGGCCCGGTAAAACCATGTGCAAGCCGCGCGAGACCGACAGCAATGCGAGAATAAAACTTCTCCTCAGCACCATGTCTCCTGAGCCTCCAAGCCCCCAGTCAACTTCGTACTTGAATACCGACATGAAAACCCAGTGGAAA